CAACAGATATCCTTGCAGAAAGGAAATCTGCTTTATGAAAAGGTTTGTATTATTTCTTTCCTACGTTTCCTAGACACAACAGCAGAAATAGTTGTAAGTGCATAGAAATACCTTGTCATTTATATGCAAACCAGAGACTTTAAAGCAAAATGGCTTAATTTTGAGAAGATAGACAGGAAAGAGTCCCGCACAGGAGTTTGCTGCCCAGCTTGCTCTTTATGTTTCCCTCCTGTGGGATCAGCCCTGCAGACTGTGCTTCTTAGTGTTATATGCTGGATCTCATTTTGCAGATTTTCATGCGAACATGCCTTACTGCTGTGTTTATTTTTGCCAACGCTGCTGTAGCTTCCTGAGTAAACTGTAGTTGGGTAACTGGGGGGGAAACCCCAGATTTTCTAATGTCATGTCATGAAGTTTTTTGCTAAAGTATGTTGATTAAAACCTGGAGAATATTGTTGAACTTGTGCTCCTCATAAAGCATATGTTAAGAAAAATGTCATAGTTATTTTTAATTACTTGTTCTCATTGCTGCAGGCCAGCCTCTCCCATACTTTAATGACTGTCAAATATTATTGAAAGCTCAAAAGATCCTTACTGTTACATTCCAGGGTTTGTTTAGAATGCTTAACATCTTTCAGGAGCTTCTGAAATGTGGTGTTTTTATTTTGTGCTTTCCTTTGGTTTTAATTCTTAAATGATCCCTCTTTTCAGATTTCAAATTATAATCTATTTCCTGATGCATTGCTGACGCCCCGTGAGCCATGTCAGAAGTACTTCCAGGTCAGATGCCCTTTAAAAGATTCTGCTATGCAAATATATGAAACTTTCCTCTTCTTTTTCTTCTATTCCCTCCCAGGCCCATATTTCGCTTTCATTTTACACTTATCCATGAAAAAGAGCAAGCACTTTCATTTCCTTTTAACACTGCCTTTTTGAATAAACTCTGGGTTCAGCTTTTAAAAACCTGTTCCTATAGACAATACAATGCAAAAAAAAGTCTTATTAGAGGTAAAGACAAATCGATCACACACTATTTTCTGTTTCAATGGCGTTTATTCTCTGCCTCTTTCAGCTTTGTAAGGCTTATGACAAGACTGAAAAGTGTCAATAAAAGCCATTCAAGTAATAGTGTATTTGTATATTTGTATTATTATGATGCTTAGAAAATTGAGACTGCTTTGTGCAAAACACATTATAGTGGTGAAAGTGTATTAATCTGTATCTGTATGTATGTTTCTAAACATTAGAAGCACGCAGTTGAGACCGATTTAAGTCGTAAGCAAGCTAAAATCATTAATGAATTGCTATGACGACTTCTCTACCTACTGAAGTTCTGTCTTTAAGCACGTTTTAATAATTTTCTAATTGTTCTCAGTAATGATAATGTCCTAAATATTTTTAGTTTTCCACCACAGTCCACTTTTTTTTTTATAATACCTTATTTTTTACTCGCTTATGACTTACCACTGTTCACCTGCTTTAGCTAAAACATACATATCAAACCAGTCATTCCCAGTCTGTTTGTCCATTTGTGTTTGCTTTTCAGCAGAAGGCGGAGGAGTTGAAAAAAGTGGTGCCCTGGGCTGGTAGCGTTGTCCTTGGCGGTGGCCGGGCAGCAGGAGGACCTGCCCAAGCATGGAGTGGGGGGACAGGGTCTGCCTGCAGCGGGGTCCCTGGGTACAGGACCCCTGGCAGAGGGTTTTGGTTAGCTGGTGAGGGGCACAGCACCAGCCTGCGTTGGGTGCCCCAGGGGCCAGGGAGGCAGCGTCAGCAGGAGAGACAGAATAAAACCTACGGGAAGTTGGCAATTGGAATTTCAGTCTTGAAATTACAGGCACAAGAAGTTGTATTTCCTTGAAGTTTTTAATTGGAAAGTTAGGACCTGCTTCCTCTGGGAAAAGTAATGTGTTTCAAACATCACGGTGTCCTGTATAAAGGAGGAGGGACAGGCTTTTGCTCTTCTCCCTTATGCTGTTCTGCTACACAATGTAGGGTTTCTTCAGTGCATTTAAGCATTTCCTTGCATTCAGACGTTTTCCAGCCCTTTAGTTAGTCCTGGTCTGGTAGCAACTTCTGCCCTTGAGCTGCAAGACCTGCCTGTTTTCCTTATGAATTTCTTATTCTCTCTTTGCCTCTTCTGTTTCTTCCCTTTTTCCCACCTTGGTATCTGTTTCTGAGAGCGGATGGATGCTGGCTGCACGTATCCCAGAGCCTGGCTGGGGATGCCGGGTGACCGCCAGCGAGGCTGGTGACCTGCCCTTTGGGAGGAGAGCTCTGTGTGTGCCTCCTGGTACTGTTTGTGTGTTCATTGATCACTTGCTCATGACCATCTGATCAACGGGTCATTTGAAAGGAGGGTCAGGAGGGGAGGGGGTGTCTAGCGGAAGGTTCATTTTGACATTTTTCTGCTTATGATCATACACCAACCCAACTTACAAATAGTTTGGGTCGCAAAGACTTTGGAGACTTTGGCTCAGTCATTGAGCAGTGTGTTGATGTTCGTGGAATCATAGAACAGCAAGTTGGAAGGGACCTCAAGAATCATCTGGTCCAGACTTTCTGGGCAAAAGCATGGTCTAGACAATGGGGAGCTTTATCAAGGATTTTAGTAAAACATAACACATTTTGTTCCATGTTTCTGTGTGCTTATTCTTACAGTATTTTTGATAAGTGAAATGCTAACTGCAGGAGACTGGCTAAAGATAATCTGTCAGGCAGATACTTAAGCTTTATCTCTAGGAAGATTATTTTTTTAAGAAATTTGTTCAGCGGTAAAAATAGTGGCAAATGTTGCATGAAGCAACTCATTTGTAGCACAGAACAAGAATAAATTTCAGTCTTGTTCCAGATTGTGGGAGTTGTATTTATTGCTGGGGAAAAAAAATGCTTGTTTTAATTTACTGAAGCATAAACCAAAATATAATCTAGTGAAATCCATAGATAAGTGTACAATTCTGTGAATTCTAAAGGTCAGGCAGTGGCTCAAAATTATCCTGCTCTAATAATTTACTTTTTTATGTGACTTCCGGATTGTCAGACTTTTAACCGATACAGAAAAAATATAAATCAGCCAGTCCATAAACACAGGCCATTTCATGGTTTTAGATTAAAACATGTACTTTGATAACATTATGGAGGATCAGATGTGACCTTGCTTGCCTTAGTCCTGATTGTTTTCAGGCAAGATGCAAAGAGCAACACTCATCGATGTATTTGTAGGGGAAGTGCATGGACAAAGTTCCTTTAAATTATGTGCTGGTTGTGTTTGAGAAGTCTTTTCTGGCTACAGCTGAGATGGTCTGTGGGATGTTTGTTAACTGTTACTGGAGCTGGTGGCTTTTGCGCAGCGTGCGTGGGGTGATCTGTCTTCTGAAGAATTTGCAGTTGGTCGAGACTGACTGGTTGGTGCCTGAGGAAATGGCAGGCATGAAAATTCGTAAAATTCCATTTAAATTCTGTTTCGAACAAGTTCTAGAAGTTGTTCTAGGTGGGTGATTCAGGGAACAAAGAGTAGACTTGCTCTGCTTGGTTTTTAATGAACCGGAGGGATTGTTGGAAGTGTGCAGCTTTGACAGCACATCAGAGGAGGGAACGCTGTGAAGTGCTCCTTTTCACTTTGTGTTTATGTATATGTTCTTTTAAAACCCATATATTTAATCTCTTGTAAATCTGTATAGCAGTCATTTCTATCATATATCAAATATACAAGGATGCAGCACAACTCAGCTGGAATGATCTGTCATCGGCTGGCTCAAATTATAGCTTTTCATTCCTGGATAAGCCCCAGACACGTTTTTATGTGCAATATAAGCAGTCAGTGATATCTGAGGATTAGGAACAACGGAAAGGGTGTTTCATGCTGTGGCAGATGGGAGTGATTTATTAATTGGCCTCTAATTTGGTTGCCAGGTGTCAAACAACAGTGACTACGACAGTATGTAAATTGAGGTGTTCATGGTGGAGTTGTGCAGATTAGTGGGAGCCATAAATAGATGGTACAGGAATAAATTATATATTTTTGATCATTTTTCATGGGCTAAAAATCTGTTCCCTCAACAAACTTAATATTTTTTCAAAAGGTGAGCTACGCCCCTGGCTAACAAAAATCGGAAACTTGTGTCTACAAGTAGACAAAAGAATGGTTTTATTTAACAGCGGAATATGCGTGCTCTGCCCTAAGATTTAGGATTTATCCTGAAGTTTGAACTTTGTGAGGTGTAGAAATAGGAACCCATCTTCATGTCTGGAGCAGCCCTTTTTTTTTTTTAAGTTGATTGAATTGGAGCAGGATATTTTGCCAAGGGATTCCCTCCCCATTCCTGAAATCAAATACAGTATTGCAAAATAATCTACTTCTTATATTCCCTATCTTCTCACACTCTACTTCCCCTATAAAAAAAAAAAAAAAAAAAAGGGAGAGAAAGACAGACAAAGAGCAGAGAAAATGCAGGTGTTAAGAGACAAGAGCTGACTGGCCAGTCAGGCTTAAAATGACTAGTACCAGAGTAATACCTTAGATTAAGAAGCAGCAGCATCTGCCTGTGGTCTATTTAGAAATTTCTCAAATTTTCTGCTTCCTAGTGATGAGCACTTGAGATCTTCCCCTCCTTGTCAGAGGTAGAGGTGGAATACTAAAATGAGGTGATGGTATGGATGACTTCTGGACTCCCAGGCATTAGCAAAGGGCACCTCTCCTGTCCCCAAGCCTGTCTGCTGCAGAATCAGATGTGAAAAAACTGCCCTAAAAATGTCTCATATAGGGTCAAGCTTTCTGCTTTTTCTCAGCTTTGTGGTCTTGATGATCTCTCTATATTTTTTCTGCCTCTGTTTTTCCTTATTTAATAAGCTAAGCTTTTGTCTGTTCTCTTACCCACTTAGGTTGTGGTAATTTTCATGCTGTAAAACAATTGCCTAAAGTGCCGCATCCCTTTACCAGAAGCCCTAGCGAGAGCAGTGTGTATCATGAATGTGTTTCATGGCTGTTTCTTTTGCTTTTCCAGTCGATTCCGGCGTGGACGCCTTGGCAGTGTTTATGGCAAGCAGCAGCACGACGGACGTTGTGAACCGCAACAGCCCGGCCACCCCACCCAACACCCTCAACCTGCGCTCCTCTCACAACGAGCTCCTGAATGCAGAGATCAGGCACACGGAGGCCAAGAACAGCACGCCCCCAAAATGCAGGAAAAAATATGCCCTGACTAACATTCAGACAGCCATGGGGCTTTCCGACCCTGCGGCGCAGCCCCTTCTGGGGAACGGCTCGGCCAATATCAAGCTGGTGAAGAATGGGGAAAACCAGCTGAGGAAAGCCGCCGAACAGGGACAGCAGGATCCCAATAAAAACCTCAGTACCACTGCGGGCATAAACGTAACTTCTGAGAAGTTTGAAGGCAAAGAGCCGATCCCGCAGGATCCCTCTGGCTGTGAAATATTACCCTCGCAGCCAAGGAGGACCAAGAGCTTCCTGAATTACTACGCGGATCTAGAGACATCTGCTAGAGAGCTGGAGCAGAATTTTGTTGCGATGGAAGATAAATCGGCACAAAGCAACAGCCAGGCTTCCACCCTTATTGTCAACGGGGAAGCCCTGCCCCGGAAACAAAACAAGCTGTCGAGCCCAGAGGATGGCCAAGTTGCCACGGTGTCGTCAAGCCCTGAGACTAAGAAAGACCACCCAAAAACTGGGGCCAAAACAGATTGCGCCCTCCACAGAATTCAGAACCTGGCCCCAAGCGATGAGGACTCCAGCTGGACCACCCTGTCCCAGGACAGCGCCTCGCCGAGCTCGCCCGACGAAACAGGTACAAAGCTAAAGGCTGCTGGTGGCCACTGATTTAGAAATGTGTTGCTTAACCCTTCCCAGCTATAGGACAGCTATAGAGAGGGTCCTAAAAATATGCTGACTGCGCCTTTTGCTAATTTATAAATAATTACTCTTCACTAATCAATGGGTAAAAGTTGTGAGAAGTACATGATTGCCTGGAGATGCTAAGTTACTGGTAGGTACCTGCACACAACAAACGTTTCTGAGCAATGATTTTTAGGTTCAGCAAAGATTTTTACTTTTTGAATTCAAACCTTTGTGAGTTTGAATTCAAACCCTCTGCTCCCAGTCATTTGATGGTATGCTTTTATTTAAAAAAAAACAAAAAAAGAGTTCTCCCAAACCTAAGGTAATTTAATTTCTGTGTTTTGCTTTCTCTGCGCAGCAGTTCCATACAGTAACTCAGAAGCTGAAATCATAGTATTTCATATTTTGGATGCCTGGGCTCATTAATTATTTGAACAGTAATGATGACTTCTGCACTGGCTCTGTTGTGATTTACAACACGTGTATTATTTTAAAACTCTAGAGATCTCATTTACTCTAGTTAATGGACTTCGTCGCCTTTTTTATATCCAAACCAACCTGTAAAGGCAGAACTTTGTCAAAATGAGGGGAGGCAGTCCGATCCTTCAGACTGATATGGGGCTAAAGAAGTTTGTCATATATTGTTTGTATTTTAAGTGATTTCATTATTACATCACAGAGATTATATAGTGTCTGGAGGCCACTGTGGTCCAAATCCATAGCTGCGTTACATGTCAGTTGTGCATGATTATGACAATAGTGATTTTTATTTTAATATATAAGGTTTTTTAAAATCACAACAGAAATCCCCACTATGTGACACATAATGGATATTTGATCTTTTTGATACGTAAAAACCTTTGCTGTTCAGACAGGAAATTTTTGTGAGGTCACCTCTTGACTTGCAAAATGAAAAAGTTTTCAGCTTACTAAAATTGCTGTTTGAGCTAATATTATTTCTTGGGATACTTGATATATGTGTGACATCACTGGTAACATTTTCTGGAGAAACTATCAATAGAAGATATTTAGATAATTTAATGCTGAGCTTGTTGGCTCCTTCTGTCTTTGCACTTGCTCCAGGTTTGGCAATGAGAAACTGGGGAGAAAGTTATATTCATTGGAAACTAAATTAGAGTAATTCCAAGTAGTACAATTAAATAGGGGTGGTCTAACATGCTAAGAGCTAGCAGAAGTTTTCTTTCTTTTTAAATAATACGTTTAAAATTTTCACCCTGCATGTGTATTGCCACTGTATGGTGTGTGAGCTCTTTTAGCACTCAGGAAGGGGGATTTTCTGAGCTGTTTCCAGGTGTTAGCAAGTTTGCTTATTTAAGTAACCATAGCTGAGCTGTGGTTTGTTTGCACTATGGAAATAAAGGGGAACTTTTCCCCTGATGAGTATGGGGAGTTTCCTCATTTTAAAAAAAAAAAAAAATAATAAAAATCTATTAATGAAGCCCTCAGAGCTCGCCACTCTTCTAAAGCAGAATAAATGGTGTTTTTAAAATTCTCCACTACCTTCACCATTCTAGCAACCAAGGTATAGAAAGGCAGATGTCCAGATATCCGAGTTCTGTCTCTCTACTTATTTTTACTCTTTTCTTATAAAGCACTAGAAAACCTCAAAATTGCCTTTCGAGATCAAAGTGGTAGAGGTGTTTCTTTCTCATCTCGTGGTCATTGTCAGAGAGCACCAAGTAGGACACAGAACCTGTCATACTGGATTGAATCGCTGGTTTTAAGAAGTCTGTACGTATAAGTATTCATGGACTCTCAAAACCCTCAGCTATTGCAATTTACAGACACCCATCTCTTGGGATTATATGCTGTCTTTCATTTACCTCCGGTCTGATAAAATTGTTTCATTAAGTGCTTCCAGTTTCTTTCCAAAATGGCCCATCAATTGCTATAACAGGAGAGAACTAAGAAATAAAAATGTTGAGTTGCCATGGATGCCAGGATGGCTTTTGGATGTGATGAAACAGGCCAGTTTCTCAGGCTTCCCTGCAGCTCCTTCTGGTCAGCTGAAAAGGGGAGTGCAAAAAGCCATGCAGCTGGTGTAGGACAAGGCCTTGCACAAGGCCTTGCTTCTCCCCAACTGACCATGTTATTTACAGCGGTATCAAAAGTACCAGTGTCCTCTTCTTCAGGGAGTGCCACCACTGTATGTGACTGCCCTACACCAAATGCCTGTCTGCTGCTGTCTGAGTGAATCCGGGAGGGCAGCTTAACAGCTGGTTACAAATAAACCCAGTTCAACCCAGTACAGAAATGACAGCCATGAGACTGGGCCTTGGGGATGAGGAGTGTGACTCTTGTAAATAGAGCCAGGTATTCTGAAATAACAGTACGTCTGGATAGAATAGACCTCTAATACAATAAAAATTACAGCAAATCATGAACTAGTCAGATTTATACCAATGGTCAATTCTGCCTCTGGTTTCAACCAGCATCTTTGACAAAATTAAAATGGATGTCTTCTTAAAAGCACTATTTTTCCTTTGCAGTACCTATCTGATATAGACAAGAAGTATGTTATTTACTACAGAACATGTTTTCTGTGTTCCTCGGTGTAGAAAAAGATTTATGGTAGTTGAAATACATTTGATTACACTGTGGATAAGCACAAATCCTGTAATACTAGAGAAAGAACATACCATCTTTGCAATTGTAAGGTTCTAGGTAAACATCCAGTTTTCGGATTTTGGGGAATAAGAGGCTCTAGTTCACACTTGCTATGCTTCCTAAAGGCCTGTCAACTTTTAATATTGGGCTGATATTTTGAATCCTGCAGGGTACTGATAACCATGTATCAAGAATGGAGCGTGCTTTATAGTCTCAGACATGACCATTTGCTGACTGCTTTCGAAATAGGAAAGGTGACTATTGCCTTACATCCCCAGTGTTTGTGTAGGTAATTTTCTGTACGTGGAGCAACTAACTCCATGTTTATCTTCCTTTTACTAAGAAGATTTTAGGGAAGAAAAAGTAAGCCAGTTTAAAAGAAATAAAACTTAGAAGGCCACACAGTTACACAGTGTTCACAGTAATGATCAGCATTCAGGGTCTACTGGTAGGCAGCCATAAAATAAATTGAAATTGATAGTAAATTGAACTTGAAAGATGACTCCCTGGAGCACACGCTGCTGGCTATCAGTTGCACAGGGAGGACGCTTGCTGTGTTTGGGCCGTCAGGTCAGTTTTATTTTGTGGTTCTCAGTGGAGCTACCGAAATCCATATCTTGAGTGCTCGGATAAGTGCTCTGACTTGAAACTCAAAGTTTCCATGGTAAAGAGAGGTGATCAGCACCCTTTTGAATTGGGATATTTAATTAAAATAGGTGTGTAAAAGTGAATTAACATGCATAAATTCAGGAATGGGAGGATAGATGTTTTATATAATAGTGATTAGCATCCTCTTCCAAGCTCTGTTTGCAATTACCAGGATTTGGGACTATAGAAGAAGCTTTCCAGGACATGTTGTGTGGTCACAGTTGCAGTTTTATACTTACTGTTTACCAAAAAGATAAAGAGCAATTCTTCATTTCACCAGAGCCGTTCATTTTCCTCCCTAGGGAGGGCTTGATTCAACTGCCTGCCTGGTGTCCCTTGAGATGCCTGGTGGTGTCCAAGACAGGCAACAGACAGGAGGCAAGAACTAAGGCTTGCGTTGTAGAGGAGCAACCGCAGGCGAAGTCGGACACACATCAAGTAACACTCACAAATGAATTAACCAGCTGGATAGAGCCTGAAACATCTACCCTGCAGTGCAGAAACAAAATCTGTTTATTTTCTGGGTCTGGCTTTGCTTTAAAAATCACTCCTTGGTTAATCTCTGCTATATTGTGCCTAAAGGGTCTAGGATGGTTTGTCATTCTTTCCAAACACAGTGCTCTCCCAGCGTGACATCTCTCCCTAGGTGCTCCAGGGCCAGGGGAGATTGAGTTCAAAGATAGTTGCCTTCAAGTGGCTGTGCTTTGACTACCAAAGCACTGCTGTGCCTTGCTTGGTGGCCCTATCCTAACTGACATCACTTCATTAATTTTGACGTTATTCCAGCTGAACTCCTGGTCGCTTGGTAGGAGTTTAACAAGCTGGCTTATTTTGTCCTTGGTATTTCATGTTTTGTGTGGTTCTTGTCTTTTGAGGGATGCTTATCTTGCTATTATAGTAAAGCACATAATTTCTAATCCAGACGAAATCAGGGTGCTGCTTTGTATAAGTGTATAAGATCTTGAGTGTTTTAAAATTAGTATTTTCTACTCATTAAAATGCATAGTTGTGGGGGTAAACAAATGCCTGCAGGCCTACCTGCTGGAACACGTGGAATACCGTCTGGGGAAGTGAAAGGTGGCAACGGGGAATAGAGGTTGTGACAAGACAACATGAAAAAGTGAATGCTGGTGCCCTACTACCACCTGGGTGGAAGCTATAGAGTAGTTCACAGTAATGTTAAGAGATGTTAGGACATGCTTTCTATACAGAGCTTGTTGTGTGTTGTAGCAGAGTGGAAGACTCTTCTGAGCATCTATAGGGAAAACTCGAGTTTCAGAAGAGGTAAACAGCTTAATCATGTCTGGTACTTTACTTGACAAACTGTTTTTGGAAACTTTTAAAGCTTCTGTTGTTTCAGGGTGGGCAGGTGTAATTCTGGATCCTGCAGGTCCTCTCTGAGGTTGGATGCGTCTTGCTGAAAAAGCTCTTCTGTTCCTAGGACTGCCTGTCTTCACAGGTCTCTCCTGAGACCGTGAAAAGAGCTCAGGTCCAGTCAGATGTAGGACCAAGCAAAGAGGAAGGGAAAACAAACCATAGAAGAGGAACCAGAGAGGGTAATGAGGGAAAGTCAGGATCATGATGGCTCTTTCAGAGGGATCATAGGGCAGGAAGTTGCACAGAGAATAGCCACCATCAACTAATATCATACTAACTGCCCCTCCTTTAAAAAAA